GTAGTGCATGCGAAAACAACTACAACACCTGTGGATCCCTTTGATGCACAAATTGATAGTTCGTCGCATAATTGGCCGTTTTTATACTAGAGACGCATAATGCGTCTCTAGTATAAAAACGGCCAATGAGATGATAAACCTCATTAAGCTTCATTATCTATTGTTTGAATTGCATTCAACGCGATCGAAATTCGACGTATAAAACGCCTTAGTTCGGCTTCGTTCTATATAGCATGCAACTATGGCATCTGTGAGTTATCTAAAGTTGTCTAAAGTTCAATTAACCTTTCTCACGCAGACATAAGCCCATATCGGCCATTTTTGGGGTACTGTCTACCCGGGCCAAGTCAGAGAATCCGAGCTAGACAATCTAAAGAATGTGAAAAGCGACTTTTCAAAATTGTATTTACCATTGATTATACACACAACTACAGTTAAAAACTCGCAATACACTCTTTCGATAATTACGCCACACATACTTTTTGGTTTTTGGTCCCTGGAACTCGCTCTCATTAGCAATTACGCAAGGTGATTGGCTCACGATTCATGAGAGTGAGGCCCGAGGCCAATTAGTTTACACTCTCAGACATGGGAGAGCCCTCTGGAGAGCCAATACCCCCTAAAATGGTGGGTAAGCCTAGCGTGAGAAACGGGATTTTCAGTGTTAACCACCATATATGAAGAATTGGGTCTTGTTTCCAGTTTTACTGTGTATACTTTCTGCTATAAAAACGTTATCTTTTCTCTAGTTAAACTTGCACAAACAAGAACATTTTGTTCGTAGTTCTTTGGGCTGGACAAGTTTACTTTCTTGTCTGTACGGTCCTTGATAAGTTTTGTTTTCCTTGATAAGTTTTGTTGTTCATGTGCACGGATGTTCTTATACATTTATCTGACGTCAAGGCCGCCGTTTGTTCGCCAAAACACTTAAACACGTAGACACGAACAAATTTTCCTTGTCCAAAAGCTGGCAAGGAAAAATGGTCAATTTCTTGCCGAGCAAATAAAACTTGTCGCGGAAATATTGTCCGTCTGTATGGATGTTTCGATGCCAAGGACGATACTCATATAACATGTCCGGAACTCCATTGCAAGTTCTATGGATCCATACAGATAAATGGATAAATGCATGAATATTTGCGGATATCATGTCGCCACACCCGATCCGGTCTAATAAAATGCATGACGTCACCTAAGATTTGCCACGTGACCCTATGAGAGCCAATCAGAAGCGAGAAGTGAGCCTCCAACATTCTCGACCAAGCAGAAGCTGACTTGTGTGTATCCGATCAAGTTTTACTCGAGTATACTTGATAGTTTATTTTGAGAATAAAGTTATATTTAATATCTGTTATACAAAGCAGCTAGCAGAGTGATTTAGCTCGCTAAAGCCAGCCAAAATGGAGGATGGAATGAAATACTTAGCCGTAGATCGGAAGAAGGTTGGCGACCCTACTTTGCAAGCAGAATGGAGTGCTAAGAAGCTTGTTTGGGTCCCAGACGAAGAGCATGGATTTATCCCTGGAAGTATTAAACAAGAAAACAAAGATGAAATTGTTGTGGAAATTTCAAGCGGGAAACGAAAGACGTTTAGCAAAGACGACATACAGAAAATGAACCCTCCTAAGTTCGAGAAAGTCGAGGACATGGCTGAACTAACATGCCTCAACGAAGCTAGCGTTTTGCACAACCTAAAAGATCGCTACTACTCTGAATTAATCTACGTAAGTTCGTTGTTTAACGCTTCAAATTTCTGAACTTTTAGCGGTGAAAGTTCATATTTTATTGGGGTTTAATTCTATCGAGTTGATAGACATACTTCGTATATTCATAACCGGAAGTGACTTTAACACTTATGTTTTCAAACTTTCTTCAAATCAATAGAAGCATGAATTTATATATTGTGTGCTTCTTTTTTAGACCTATTCAGGTTTGTTTTGCGTCGTTGTTAATCCGTACAAACGGTTGCCTATCTACACGGATAATGTGGTGGAAATGTACAAGGGGAAAAAGAGGCACGAAGTTCCCCCCCACGTCTATGCAATCACCGATACTGCATACCGAAGTATGCTTCAAGGTACGCTGTATTACGTTGTACAGTATATTATTGACATTCCTTTACTGATCAATACTACGAAACGCCTACCGATTTCTATAGCTTGGTAAAAATTAAGTCTGTGTACACCTAACTAAATTATTGTATTAAATATCTGCCATCATTGCTAGTCTTATCCGTCTGAAGCAGGCGTGGCTCTCACTTACAGTAAACTTTTATATTAAATTTGAGATATATTTGTGACAATTTTATTAGGCTATTCTATAGCAAAACAAACAATATAGGAAGGCCTTAAAACCTCGATCGATATACCCTAATATTCCCAGAATCTAACAAATATATTGTGACATTTAAATCATGAACCACAAATAGCTAATATTGCTGCATTATATTGGCCAAATTCTTGTTATTATTGTTCAATTAAAAAACGACGTGTTAATTTTAATTATGCATATTATATTTTGTAACATTCAAGTTTGTTTTAATAAGTTTTAAGGCTATTTTGCATCGTTGAAATGGGATGGCATGCAATATAAAGCATCAAGTCAAACAATATAAGTATTTAGTTTATAGCAATTTTAAACAGAGATAAGTTAACTTGTTTACATAATTTCAAAAGGTATGCAAGCATCCATTTGCTAAGAATGTTAACATCAATAATTTCTGTTTTGAGTTTTGACAAAATGTTGTTATACTACATTACATTACTACAATATATGGTTGCAATGTGAAACACCATTGCCTCTTGTGTGGGCATTTTTTGGAAGTGATTCACTGTACATTTTTGTAAACATTAATAGCTGCTTGCATTCATTTTTGAAGTGGTTTAATTACATCAATGGAATTTACATACCAGAGTGAGTTCTGAAATGCTTAGCAAAATACCAGAGCATTAACTATGTCACTTCTCTCAATTATTTATGCTAACTTGGGTTTACACATTACCATTTGTCCGGCTGATTTCAGTTAATTCATGTAAAGACAAATATAGTTGGTTTGATTATAAGGTCCTCAGATGAGGTTTATTGCATATTTTCTAAATATCATTTAAGTGCAATTGAAATTGGCCTTCAAATATGTGCCTTTATTCTTTTATTCTAATACACCGTGACTAATCTTGCAGAGTATAAGTTTCACTTTTGCCCAACTTTTCCGGCTTATTTTTGAAATTCAATCTCATAATTATTATTGTTTTATTTGAAAACCTCCCTTTTTGTAGACAAAATAAAAGTTGTACTTGCGTTTAGCTTATGGAAACATATAATGTGACATGTTTGTCAAAATTGTATTATAATTTTAATCCAGTCGATTAAATGGACCCCTGTTTGAGTTAATTAAATCAACCTTAACAAATAATTACTGGGATAACTTTTGACAAGGGGTGTCAAATGTTTTAACCTTAATTTAGCTCAATTAATTCCTGACATGTTTTACTTGACCAGGAAAATGATCAGGCATTGTTAGACAAAGTAAAATAACCCAGTCACATTAGGGTGCATTGCAGATTAACACTTTATTATATTTTATTCAGTCTAACACCAGACGATTTTACTTGTCATGGGGAGAGCGCTGCTCCGCTCATGGGTTAACGAGGCTACATGTTTCTGCCCATGTGTCTACAGGGTGTTAGCCAGAAGTAAAAAAATCCACGTTTACCTGAATTTGGGAAATTTATTTTAGCCTGAAGCCGGCCATTTTTTTGTGGGTCTGGGGGCATGCTGTTGCCCCCCCTCGATTTTTAAATTTTTTGTGTCTTTGAAATGGCATTTCCCTATTTTGGGAGTAATTTTGAGCAAATGTAGTTATAAACATGTTTTTAATGGCGTATTAACAACATTGAATTTCTATAACTATTTTTTGGCTGACCCAAATTGGGAAATTACGACCTCATGGTAATTGGGAAAACCGTGTTTAACGTGGAATTTTTGACTGTAGCTAACACCCTGGTCTAGTTAACCATTAAGTTGCGTTTTGATGATGTGTGATATCCGCTTTTTAAATTCGATACGATGCTTCTATATTTGCCCTTTTTGACTGGATATTGCTTCGCAACATCTGTGAGTCTTTGTGGTTTCGTGAGTGTGGGGCAGTTAAACAATGGGAAATGACCAGCCTGCTTTGCGTGCACTGTTTGCCTGCGAATCAGGCCTTTCAGAGCCGGGAATCAGGCTGGAGCAAGCGTTCATTCTGGCAAAAGAAGGATGACCAATGGTTGAAATGGAAAAATTTGCACGGTTCCCAATTTGCAAAAACAACTGCAAACTGCTCTAATTCTTTCTGTCACTTTCATTTGATCTGTGAGGCCAAATATAAATATTAGTTGGTTTCAGGTTTCCGACCGACCTGTCAAAAATATGACAGGTCAGTCGGTTGACATTTCCCAGTAGAGATCATCTTTTCATAAATAGCAGAATACAGTATATATTAAGTAGTCATCAGAGTTATTTGTCAACAAATTATTATGTTAATTATACTTTTACACAACAAACAGTTTGATCACACATGACAGTTACTCATAAACAACTATATTTATTGCATTCTTGAGATAGAATATTTTTTAAAATAAAATGTTTTTCAACCTGCCTACCCATATAAAACATGGCTGTGAAACCTGAAAACAGGGCACAAGATTAGCAGTATCCCGATATCTACGGGATACCAGATTTCAATTTTGGATACTGGATATCATAGGCTTAGTATTCCGACGGGATACTAAAAAATCGAAATGTTGGTGAAGGTCGTATGTTGCTGCAAAATGTTTGTCAAAATAATATTTTCCGTTGTTTGTTGCGCGAAAATGGAATGTACCTGAGCACGAGGTTAATTTCTGCCTCTCTGTTTTCGGCAATGATTGCTCATTCCAAGGTGTACAAGATGCTGAGGAAGTGGGATATGGCCAAATGTAATTGCCCAAGCAAGATGCGATCTAGTATCCACTTGGATACTGGTAAAAAATTCAAATCTTGAGCCCTGCTGAAACGAACTATTATTTTTATTTGGCCTGAGACAGCCTCAACGGCCTTTGATTTCAATACCGATATTTTTGTAATATACAGATATAACAATAGTTTTATGATATACGAAAAACAGTAACGACAAATTTTATTTAGCATTGTTTGTCTGTCAACACCACCACATTCCATACTTTTCTTTGTTGTTTCTGCTGACCCTCAGGCAAAATATTGCAGGCTCAGCAGTATTGAAACAATCGATATTTTTCGACAGTGTCAGTACTTTTCTTTCAGACTTTGACAGTATTGAATAGTTGGTATCAATATTGGCCAATCACTAGCCTAAAGGCCTTGTTATATGAGGCAATTAGCATGAGGTGGTTTCTACAAAAAAAGAGAAACGAGAAAAAACCGAGTGAACCGTTTTTATTTTTTAAAAACACATTCGAAAATCAAAACTACGGTAAAAACAACACATTACTCAGTACTCACACAATTACAAAATTTCTGTGTGTGTAAATGCCAAAACTTGATTTAAGTAAAATACCGATTTTTCTTCAGGGTTTTTCGTTTCCCCTGTTTTTTTCTGCCCCCCCCCTGATTTTTCCGTCCCCCCCAGTTTTTCCTCGCGTAACATATGGTCTTTCAAAATGCCAGATGATTTTACTTGTCAAGGGGATCGAGAGAGCTGCACCACCACTTCTTCCAGAATATGCCTTATGACGTCATTATGCATAAGGTCTGTTTTCTTTCAAATGATGAAAACAAATAGATCGCAAAACTTTTAATATATAGAGAATTAGACAAGTCTATATTATTAGCACTGACGAAGATCCATGCTTACAGATTGAAAGCTTTGCAGTGATGAATACTGTATATGTGGTGTTTTTGACAAACCGGAAGATTATATATTGTTTTTCGCGATGCAAACATTCAAGGAATTGTCACATATAATTATAGCAGTATCACTGTATACCAGGCATACTGCATGTACTGTCCTGCAAGTTTATTGGACAATGTACGTGTCCAGCCTCTTAATTTCAGGCTTGTACAGTATATACTGTATGGATTAATAGCACAGTAACATAAACTTCAACCCATGTTATGTTGTGTAAATGTAATGATTTTATTATGTAATTTTAACACTTTTTTCTACTTTTTTTTCTAGAACGAGAAAATCAAGCAATTCTTTGCACGTAAGTAATTTTCGTATCCTGTAGCTTATTTGCAAACTTATTTATTTGTAGAAAAGGAGTGAGGAATTACCGTATTGTAGTCAACTGTTCAAATAAAACATTCTAATAATATGTCTGTGTTTATTTCAGTGGTGAAAGTGGCGCAGGGAAAACAGAGAACACAAAGAAAGTTATTCAATATTTGGCATCGGTTGCTGGACATAGCAAAGCACATGTTTCATCCACAGCACCTCCCATGAGCCCTAAAGTTGGTGTGGCTAGTGGACAGGTTTGAATATCTTGTATATCTTCAGTTACTATACAGTTTTGGTGGCTATTCTTTGTGCATCATTTGAAGGGACCACAGTAATTGGTTTATACTGTTGTGGTGTCCCCGCCGTTTGTTGTACTGTTTTGTTGTCTATATGAGTCGTTAGTTACTGTATGTCACAATAGTATGTTGTAGGGATGCACCGGATATCATCTGCCTGACATTGATATAACATGTTATATCGCTACAGAGTTTTAATTCTATTTCACAACCATCTTCAGAAATATGAAAAACTAGTTTTGTATTATTCTGAAACTACAGATTACAACGAAAAATTTGTTATCTTGAGCGGCATTTGAACACATTGCCATGTTGCTTTTGGAATTTTCTTATTGTTTTCCATCTTCTCCATGTTGCTTTCACAATTTAGGCACTATTTTATTCTCTATACAGTATGTCTCCATTTCGATCCAATATTGCAGGTCAGAAGTTACCCTAACAGGGCCTCTATTTTGCTGGAATTGAGCCCCAGTCACAGAGGATAAAGATACGATGCACTAACGTTCCTTTAGTTATTCAACACGCCTTAATCCTTTTATGTTTAAGGTTGAACTGGAGAGACAATTGCTGGAAGCAAACCCAATTTTGGAAGCATTTGGAAATGCTAAAACTGTCAAGAATGATAACTCCTCCAGATTTGTAAGTTTTGCATCCATTTCTAACAGTTAACCCGTGAAGTTGCATTGCACCATCATGCACCAAGGGGAGAGTGTCAATTGGTGCTTAGTGGGTTAACCAGACTATCTGCCCATGTGTCTGGTTAACTCAGTATGTTGCATTGCACCCTAATGTCCCCTACTTTATTATTTTACTCTGTCTAATGATAGACGATTTTACTTGTCAAGGGAAGAACACTGGCACTGAATGACTATCTGCCCACATGTCCAGTTAAGCAGAATAAGTAGATTTTCAAATTCACTTTTCCATCCAAAGATCCACTACCCCTTTACAGCACAGCACGGCCCTGCATGATCATGACAAATAGTCAAATACTATAATTGTATTGTTGACCCCTTATCTTCTGTTTCCAGGGTAAATTCATCAGGATCAACTTTGATACTTCGGGATTCATTGCAGGCGCAAATATTGAATCTTGTATCCTTTATGTTGTGTATTATTGATTACAACTTTCTTGGGTGAAACAAATTAACCCATTAGGTTACAATGGACCCAATTGCACTGACTTTATCATTTTGCTCTGTCTAATACCAGATGATTTTACTTGTCAAGGGAAGAGTCTTGTGCATTAATGGGTTGAGCATGTGCAAGGTACAGTATAGTATTTTAGTGTATAACCTTAACAGGGTTTAGATCTTTTGGAGAAAGCTCGTTGTGTAAGACAGGCACCTGACGAAAGATGTTTCCACATTTTTTATCAAATTCTAAATGGCATGAATAAACAGATGAAAGGTACTGTACAGTAAAGTTTAGCACTGAGCTTTACGGTGTTTGAAATTTGCAGTATGTTGACATCCATGGATTACATGTACCAGATGTCTGCTGGATATTCTGGGTGGATAGCAGAGTTCAAGTTGCAGGTGGTAGACAGACTACTGTAAAGTCTGTTACAGTACTTGACGTTTGTACGTACTTGACGACAACTACAGTATAACAAAACAGGTTCTGAAATTTAAAATATTTTACAGTTAGTACCACACTGGGATACCAGGATTCAAAGTTCTATTACCCCATCTGGTTAGCATAAATTTTGGTATCCCTTAACCATCAAAATAAGTATACAGTACATGTCTCTCATTAAATTACAATAACAGGAGACTCCAACAGTCATCAACTAGACAACCAATTAAGTTGGAAAGCAAAGGCTATTATTTAGTTATTTTCAAAAAGGCAGACTTGTAGTATTCAAGGCTAACTTGGGAGACCACTGGAGACATTTAGAATTATCCCAATGTTTGAAATTTTGTAATATGCACTTATCCAGTCAGGATACAAGTCATTCACAGTTTGGTATCCAAAACCAAATCTTAGTATCCTGTGAATATCAGGATACTGCAAATTTCAGGCCCTGCTAAATATGATAACTGACAAAAATGATAAAACAGTGATTTGGAACTGGCATATCTTACAAATGATCATACTAACAGTAGGGATGAGCAGATTGTTTAATGGGTGACTAATAATACCAAATAATCGGCTGATTAAACAAAAGCCGATTATTCCCATTTACACAGTTGCCAGTAGGCGTTAGTTGTTAAGGTGACCTCAGATGCTTTTGAGTTTTAAAATGAAACTTGAGAAGCTAATGTAGCAAAGCACTCATGGAGTTACAGTATCTCTAGCATTCATTCATGTCTCTTCCTCCCTTCTAAAGCTGGATATATAAATTGAAAAGTTTTCCACTTCTTTTTCATGACATTCTCTTTTGTCTCATGTAATGGTCCTCCGTGCTCACACATTGTTTTCCACTAAGAGGAAATCCAGCTTAAGCTACACACATAATCCAGCTTCATGGTCATGGGGGTCACATGTATAAGTGATTAAGTGTTAATTTTCTCACTTAATATTTGTTTTTCTGATAAAGAGATAAGAGGGGGATAAATGCAAGATCTTATTTGTACCTATTTGTGTAGGTACTATTTGTACCTATTTGTGTACGGATATATCCGGTATACTGGTACCAGTATTTGTTTACATACCGGTTTGGCGATATTGACAATTTAAAAATACCGATATACCGACATTTCGGTATTTTGCTGCCTAATACCGAATTGAAAGCTATTTCAAGTCAAAGATTGTTCTCCGAAAAAAAATTTTTCCGAAAAAATTTTTAAATAGTGGTCCCTAAAAAAAAAATTTGCCCCGGGCCCCCACCAACTTCTCGGCGGCCCTGCTAATAACAGTATGTGCCACAATATTTTGTCAAAACTTGATTTTTCTCGACGGTCAGCAGTTCAGTTTGGCTTTAAAAAAAAAAACACGTTAAAAATACCGGTATACCGGTATTTACCAGTATTAATTCTGATGGCAGTATATCGGTATTTGGTATTTGCGATATCGATCCACTCTATAATCGGCTCATCCCTAACTGACAGCTGACAAATGCCTTGAATTTTATTTGAAAATGAACATTTGAAGCTTCTGTTAATACAGTGCCTTGTACAAATTAGAACATTTGCCATGACCTTATTGTTTCTATTCAGATGAGTTCCTGTTTGATGATATTGGATCGTATACCTTCCTCTCAAATGGAAACGTTGAGGTTTCTGGCATCGATGATCGTTCTGATCTGAAAGACACTTTGGTGAGTGAATAGAATATACTGAAATTTGACATTATGTTGTATATGTTGTATACTGTAGGCAGGTTTCAGAAGCATGATAGGACAGCCAATGGTGTTCAGCTTCAGAAATATTGACTGTTGAAACTTATAAAATATAAGTAAATCAAACTAAATCAGTACTGTAAGTCTCTCAATTAAATTAAATTGGTTCTAAATACAAGACCACATATAATGAAAAGATTATTTTCTTACTCGGATAACAGTAGTTAGCAAACCTTCAACTGCTGCATGATAATTGCTTTAGTTGGTGAAATCGTAAGTCAGACCATCCTGCATGCCCACACACACCTTGGTGCATGCTTATGGAGATGTGAAATTTATTGCATGTCTCAATTAAGCTGTAATGCAAAATATATTTCTAAAAAACTATTTGTAATTAGTTGCAAGCCCTGCAGTAATGAAATGCCCAGTGCATTCAGAATGAAAAAGTGATTGCACCCCACTGCACACCTAACAAGACCAAGGAGTGCGATTTATTGAGCCCCCCCCCCCCCCCCTCTCCTTCCTGGGATGGAAGAAGTTTTGATTCGAATTTTGATTGTTTGTTTTACTATTTTAGACTGGAATGAAAGATATGGGAATTACTCAGGATGAAACAAATTGTATGTCTATACCAAGTTTGTACATTAGATAGTGATAGTGTAGACTTGTGACACATATTGACAGTGCTCTACTACCAATGCTCCACTGCCAGTGCTCTACTGCCAATGCTCTACTGCCAATGCTCTACTGCCAATGCTCTACTGCCAATGCTCTACTGCCAATGCTCTACTGCCAGTGCTCTACTGCCAGTGCTCTACTGCCAATGCTCCACTGCCAATACTCCACTGCCAATACTCCACTGCCAATGCTCTACTGCCAATACTCCACTGCCAATACTCCACTGCCAATGCTCCACTGCCAGTGCTCTACTGCCAATGCTCTACTGCCAATGCTCTACTGCCAATGCTCTACTGTCAATGCTCTACTGCCAATGCTCTACTGCCAGTGCTCCACTGCCAATGCTCCACTGCCAATGCTCTACTGCCAGTGCTCTACTGCCAGTGCTCTACTGCCAATGCTCTACTGCCAATGCTCTACTGCCAATGCTCTACTGCCAGTGCTCTACTGCCAGTGCTCTACTGCCAGTGCTCTACTGCCAGTGCTCTACTGCCATTGCTCTACTGCCAGTGCTCCACTGCCAGTGCTCCACTGCCAGTGCTCCACTGCCAGTGCTCCACTGCCAGTGCTCCACTGCCAGTGCTCCACTGCCAGTGCTCTACTGCCAGTGCTCTACTGCCAGTGCGCTACTGCCAGTGCTCCACTACCAATGCTCCACTACCAGTGCTCTACTGCCAGTGCTCTACTGCCAATGCTCTACTGCCAGTGCTCTACTGCGAATGCTCTACTGCCAATGCTCTACTGCCAGTGCTCTACTGCCAGTGCTCTA